CTCCAACCCAAAACCCCAATCAGTTGCTGTTGAATTGGTTCCAGTTCATGGAGACCCCAGCCTTTTCACTGCTGGTGTTTTGGAAATAGATTGCCATTCCGAAGTGCCCCAGGGTAGACCTGAACTTTCAACTTAACCGTTTGTGGCACCCAGGCCTGAGCCTCACTCCCCAACACTAATTTCATTCGTCTGGAGCAGGACCCAGGGTAGCAGGGGTTTTAAAAAGCTTCGTGGGTGATTGTGATGTGCTGCTAAGTTGAGAAACCTCTAGAATTACAGGTGGGAGACGGAAGCTCAGGGAAACTGAGTAAGGTCACAGTGCGAGGGAGTCTGACTATATCGTTGGCTCTGGGAGTTGTGGAAGGACTGGAGCTGACTTGGGAGAGGGGATGTTGGTAAAGGGAGACGGGGAACCCGAGACCACAGGGACCCTGGCTTCGTCACGAGGTTAAGGCTCAGGGAGAGAGTGTTGCTCACGCGAACCTGAAGCCCAGCCTGCTCTGCCCCTTTGGTAGGGCCCAAGACGTCCGTGTCCCGGGGATGGGGAGACGGGCGGACCCAGCCCAGGACCCAAGTCTCCTTGGACACGTCAGCGAAACCAGAGCCAGCCGTCCTGGCCGCCGGCAGCAGTCCCGCCTGCCTGGGGTGGGGGTTGGCAGACTCCAGGGCTGGGCTCCTGCCAGGCCTGGCCTGTCCAGCAGGGCTGCGCCCGGGCGAGCCAGGCCTGGAGCCAGAGGGCCCAGAGTGCTGGGCTCAGGCCAGAAGGGCAGTGGGCACAAGGGCAGTGGGGTTGCCAGCCTCTATCAGTCTGTCTGAGTCTATATCTGCCTGGCCAGGCACAAGGCTGTCCCTGGAAGTAGCATGATATACCAGCCCCCATTCGTGTGTGATGGGGTATCCACGGGTGTGTACTGCACATGGGGTGGTGAGTGGCACGCTTTGGGTCCCCTGAGAGCTTAGATGACGAACGTCCCAATGTGCTTACTCTTTCTTACTCATTCAGCCTCCCCCCTCAGCCTCCACTGGTCCTGAGGTCATGTGCTGAAAAGGGGGCTGGCCAAGGACAGCTCAGCCCCACACCCCCACTTCCCAGATGGGACACTGTGGAGGCTTTGACCGTGGGACAGGGGCCTCCTGCCTGTGCGAAAATCGGCATAGCGGATGGGCTTGTGACGAGTGGACGGCACTCCCTGTGGCCAGTCAGACCACATATGTCGCTTGATCAGCCTCCCCATTTCCCAGCTGGGGACTGAGGCTCAGTGACCTAGGTCCCTGTCAAGGATGCCTGGCCAGGCAGCTGTGGGAACACAGGGGGCTGGACCCCAATACCCCATCCCCAGATCCTGTCCCAAGGAGGCAGCCTGGCCATTCATACGGTCAAGCCTCCACTTCCTTCTCCTCCCACCACCCGGAGGCTGGTGGGCATGTGGGACCCTCCCAGGTCAAGTCCAGAAGGCAGGAGGGAGCCCTGAGCCCTCACTGATGTCATGCCCACTGCCCTCCATCAGCCCCCGGGAGACGTGTGCTCACGCCCTTTGCAGAGGGAAAGCTGCCCCCTCCCGCCTTGGGTCAGCAGACCCAGCAACAAAGGCCAGGCCCTTCACAGCCACTGTGATCGCAGGACAGTGCCGGGCAGCTGTGCCCAGCCTCCCCCATACACATGTCGCAGGTGCGCGCACCGAGCAGTGGGATTCCCTCCCAGAACCTAAGAGAGTGACCTCTAAAAACCGCGGGAAAGCCAAACAACACCTGTGCTCAGACAGCTCCAGAGCTGAGGACAAGCGAGTACTCCAATCAGATCAGTGGGGAAAAGGTGTGGAATCGCAGAGGGAACTGCCCCAGGGGACTGTGAAGGCCTGCACTCAGGCCTCCACCTGCTGCCACCTGTCCATGCATCTGTTCCCCTCCCACATCTGCCTCAGGCCTCTCTGTGACACCTACGGACCACCTGATCTGCCTCAGGGTACCAGAAGCCCATGGCCATGCTACTTCCCTAAGCCCGGTGCGTCCTCCCCGAAGTGGGTGCAGGTGGAATGGAGCGCAGGCAGAGGGCCTCCCGCATCAGCAGGGGGTGGTCGTTAGCCAGACCCCTGTCACTCCTGCTGTAGCCCAGCCCCCTCCCCACCGACTCTGCCGCCATGTTCTATAGGTTGTTACCCGGCAGCCCGATGCCCACCCTGTGCTGGGTCCCCAGTGTCCGTCGGTCCGTCCCTCCCTCCTCTATTGATGCCTGATTAAAGGGACCAAAGGTGGTCCACCCTCAGCACACGTCTAGCACCCGAGGACCGGCTGGTCAGCAGAGGGCCAGGTGCTCTAACAGTCCTTGCACTCTTACAGATGAAAACACTGAGGCCCCGAGAGTGGGGCCACCACCTGAGGTCTCCCAGCATAGCCGCCTCTGAGCCAGGACTGCCTCACTAGAGCCGAGCTTTTAACCATGACCTTATATGAGGCCCAAGGGGGAGCTGAGGCTGTGGGGTGGCCAGGCTGGCCACACGCAAGGTCCCCTCCCACCCCAGAGCCTGGCTGCTCCCTCCCTGACCTCAGCCTGGCCCAGCCGGGAGGGCTGACTTGGGGGGGCGAGGCAGCCGCACCCCCCACGTGGCCGTAGGGTGGGGCGAGGGTCCTTGCAGCCAACATCTGGAGGCCAGGCTGCACCGCTGTCTTCTGAGTCACAGAGGGGGAGAGTGGATCACATGCCTTGGTAACAACCGACCGCCAGGGGTGCGGCCCACAGGGCTGAGGTCACCAGACATGAGACGTGGGGAGCCCCCAGGGATGAGCAGGGCCTGGGCCACGCCAGGCCATGGGGTTCTGGCACTCGCTTCATCAGTTGTCATTAGGTGCTGTTGAGTCGGTTCCAATTCACGGTGCCCCTACATAGAAGCACCCCAGAGGGCTTCCAAGGTTGTCAATCTTCACAGAAGCAAAGCCCAAACCACACCCACTGTCGTGGAGTCCATTCCGACTCACAGTGCCCCTAGAGGACAGAGCGGAACTGCCCCACAGGGTCTCCAAGGCTGTCAATCTTCACAGAAGAAAAGCCCAAACCAAACCCACTGCCGTGGAGTCCAGTGTGACCCAAAGAAACCCTATAGGAGAGGAGAACTCCATACGATTCCCAAGCCTGTGTACATTTCTACGGAAGCAGACTGCCTCGTCCAAACTGCCAACCTTTCGGTTGAAAGCTGAGCACTTAACTCTTGCACCACCAGGGCCCCTTTGCTCCATCAGAAGCCCCCCTGAGATGAGCTGTGGTACACTAGTAGTGGACTCGGCCAGAGTTTCTGGCCTAAGGGGCTGGACGCTGGGAGCTAGGACCCAAGGCTGGGGTGAGGGAGATCACCACTGCCTGGTGTCTGTCGGAGACAATGGAGTGGGGCTGCGGAGTTGCGCAGGACCTGGACGGCCCAGCCTGAGAGGAGGCCACCGCCTCCAACCTGACACCGGCCCAGCTCATCTGAGATGGGACCACCTGGCCCCTCCTCCTCCTCCTCCCAGAAGCTGGCGCTGCCCCTCCCCCAGTCAAGTGGGGCAGAGCCCGCTGGGTGGGGGCAGTGTTACCTGCTGTCCCTGCAGCCAGCATGGGGGAGGGGGCCGTCTGCACTGCAGCACAAAAGGCCCTTGTGTGAACCCAGGAGCCTGGGGGAGGGGATGCCTGCCACTAGGCAACAGGCCCCCAGGGCCAGGCTGGCACCCACAGGGGCCCCACAGGGTGAGGCTGCAACTGGGTGTGGTCCTGTCCCCCACCCCCACCAGGGAGCTTGAGTGGTGGGGGGCTAGAAGCTGGGGTCCATGGCAGAGGTCGGGGAGGCCCGCCTGAGCTGGGTCTGGAAACGCCACTATGTCTGGAGGGCCGGGGCACCTGGAAGTGGTTAGGCTGGGGCCCGGCTCAGGTTTCCCAGCCTGGCTGCCACACCTGCTGCGCCACTAGGAGTAGGCTCTCTGCACTGCACCCTGGGGTGACAAGGACGGCTCCTCCCTGGAGAGACTATCAGGGGGACTAAGAAACGCTGGAAGCAGCATGGGAGGGACTGCATGAAGGGACGGCCACTGCCTCTATGCCTCGGTGCCCAGCGTGGAGCAGACCCCAAAAACGTTCAAGGGATGAACAGGTCAAGGAGCTTTTCCAGGCCTGGCCCCGCCAGGCGGGACCCTCTCACCTCTAGTCCCCCCCCCCCCTTAGAGACGACAGGGTCTGCAGGCCAAAGGTTCCCTGCCCCCCAGTCCACCCCGTGACAGCAAAGGTCCCGCCCATGACTCTGGGCTTTCCCCCAGAAACGTTCTGGCCACATCCTGGCGGCTGTAGCGCCGTCCTGGGCAGGTCTGACTCCACAAGTGGAAAAACACCGATCCCAATAGTTTCCACGTGAAGTCTCCGGGTTGCAGTCTCCTCACTTGGGAGAGGAGGCACGCAGAGTGCAGTGGTGGCAGGCCAGCCAGCTTCTCTGCTTACGCACCCAGGTGGCCGGCTGCTGCAGGGAGGGGCAGCCTCCTCCAGCACCCAGGATGCCCACTCCTCCCTGGCCACCTTCCCAGAGCTCTTTGGGTCTGGCATGGGGCAGGGGCATAGACCCTGATGCCCTTGGCCACATGTTTCTTAGTGAGCCACAGCCAGGTGGGACCAGCTAGGGTAGACAGACACTTAAGGACAAAGAAGGACAGTTGGTAGTCACTGGGTCTTTGCAAGTCCTCAGCCCTGTGCTAGCACCCAAAAGCATCCCGACCAGATTCTGTCCCAGCCACAGGAAGCAGCAGCTTACACCCTAAAGGGCTCTATGCTTGCTTAAAGTCACGTAGCGAAAGAGGGTGATGGGGCCGGCAGGAAACAGACCAGGGAGCTGGAGATGGGAGACTGGTGGGGGTCGTGGCAGGGCTGGCGATTCCCTTCTGGGTCCTTTTTGAGCAGGGGATGGGTGTCTTTTCCAGCCTCGTGGGCCCTCTGGGCCCCTGACTCACAGCCTCCCGTCTGTCTCCTCTCTGCTTCCAGGGACCAGAAGATGTGCCCCCAGAGCCCTCCAGTCTTGCTGCTGCCCCTCCTGCTACTGCTGGCACTGGGGCCCAGAGGGTGGGGCTGCCCCCCAGGCTGCCAGTGCAGCCAGCCGAGGACTGTCTTCTGCACGGCCCGCAAGGGCCCCACGGTGCCCCACGACGTGCCGCCTGACACGGCGGGCCTGTACATCTTTGAAAATGGCATCACCACGCTTGACGTGGGCAGCTTCGCCGGCCTGCCTGGCCTGCAGCTGCTGGACTTGTCACAAAACCAGATCGCCAGCCTGCCTGGAGGGGTCTTCCAGCCACTGGCCAACCTCAGCAATCTGGACCTGAGTGCCAACCGGCTGCGGGAGGTCACCAACGAGACCTTCCGCGGCCTGTGGCGCCTCGAGCGCCTCTACCTGGGCAAGAACCGCATCCGCCGCATCGAGCCGGGGGCCTTCGCTGCGCTGCACCACCTCCTGGAGCTGAAGCTGCAGGACAACGAGCTGCGGGCCCTGCCCCCGCTGCGCCTGCCGCGCCTGCTCCTGCTGGATCTCAGCCACAACAGCCTGTCGGAGCTGGGGCCCGGCGCCCTGGACGCCGGCAACCTGGAGGCGCTGCGGCTGGCGGGCCTGGGGCTGCGGCGGCTGGACGAGGGGCTCCTGGGCCCCCTGCAGAACCTGCGCGACCTGGACGTGTCCGACAACCAGCTGGAGCGGGTGCCGCCCGCTGTCCACAGCCTGCGGGGCCTGACGCGCCTGCGGCTGGCTGGCAATCCCCGCATCGCCCAGCTGCGGCCCGAGGACCTGGCCGGCCTGGCAGCCCTGCAGGAGCTGGACCTGAGCAACCTGAGCCTCCAGGCCCTGCCGTCCGACCTGCCCAGTCTCTTCCCCCGCCTGCGGCTCCTGACGGCTGCCCGCAACCCCTTCAACTGCGTGTGCCCCCTAAGCTGGTTCGGCCAGTGGGTGCGCGAGAGCCGGGTTACGCTGGCCAGCCCCGAGGAGACGCGCTGCCACTTCCCACCCAAGAATGCCGGCCGGCTCCTTCTGCAGCTCGACTATGCCGACTTTGGCTGCCCGGCCACCACCACCACCACCACCACCACGGCGCCCACCACGAGGCCCACTGTCGGGGAGCCACCGCCCTCCCCATCCAGCGAGGCGCCTACCTGGCTCAGTCCCACGGAGCTGGCCACCCCGGCACCCAGTCAGCCGATCGGTCCCCTGCCCACTGCAAGGTCTGCGCCCCAGCCCCAGGACTGCCCTGCGTCCACCTGCCTCAACGGTGGTACCTGCCACCTGAAGGCGTGGCGACACCTGGCATGCCTGTGCCCCGAGGGCTTCACGGGCCTGTACTGCGAGAGCCGGGTGAGGCTGTGGACGCGGCCCAGCCCGCTGCCGGCCACCCCAATGCCGCCGCGGCCCTTGCCCCTCGGGGTGGAGCCTGTGAGCCCCACCTCCCTGCGGGTGGCCCTGCAGCACTACCTTCAGAGTAGTGTCCCGCTCACACGTCTCCGCCTCACCTACCGGAACCTCTCGGGCCCAGACAAGCGGCCCGTGACGCTGCGGCTGCCTGCCTGGCTTGCTGAGTACACCGTCACCCAGCTGCAGCCCAACGCCACCTACTCCATCTGTGTGAGGGCCCTGGGGGCCGGGCAGGGGCCAGAGGATGAGGAGGCCTGCGGGGAAGCCCGCACGCCCCCGGCCATCCGCTCAAACCACGCCCCCGTCACCCAGGCCCGGGAAGGCAACCTGCCACTGCTCATTGCGCCCACCCTGGCTGCCGTGTTCCTGGCGGTGCTGGCGGCTGTGGGGGCGGCCTACTGCGTGAGACGGGGGCGGGCAGCGGCGGCAGCTCAGGGCAAGGGGCAGGTGGGGCCGGGGGCAGGGCCCCTGGAGCTGGAGGGAGTGAAGGCCGCGCTGGAGCCTGGTGCCAAGGTGACTGAAGGTGGTGGGCAGGCCCCAGCTGGCGGTCCCGAGTGCGAGGTGCTGCTCATGGGCTACCCAGGGCCCGGCCTCCAGGGGCCCCTCCCCGCCAAGCCCTACATCTAAGCCTGAGAGTGATGGGGTCAGCCAGCGCCCTCTGCTGCCAGACCACACAGAAGCCCTCAGTTCCACAGGACAGGACCAGCCCCAGCGCCACTCTGAACCTCAGTCTTCTCATCTGTGAGATGGTGACAACCTCCACGGTCCCCACTGAGCCCGAGCACCTCCTGTCCCAAGAACGGCCCTGTCCTGTCCTCTGCACGTGCAATCCTCTGGGGCCAGGCTGGGCAGAAGCTGGGCCTGCCTGTGTGCTGGTTACACAGGCCGGGGCCTGCCAGACCTCACCCACCCCAGAGACTGGGGGCCAGTGAAGGAGGCCCCCAGAGACAGCAGAGGGAGAACGGGGTAGGGACGGGCTCTCAGGGGCCCAGCCTCGGCCCCAGGAGCAAAGGAACAAAGGAAACTGGAAAGAAAGACGCTTTAGGAACATGTTTTGTTGTTTTGTTTTTTAAAATATATTTATAAGAGATACTTTCCCATTTACTCTGGGGAAGTTTTTCAAACTCAGAGACAAGGACTTTGGTTTTTCTAAGACAACTGATGGCATGAAGGCCTTTTGTAGGAAAAATAAAAAATAAAATGAAATGAGTGTGTGTTTTCTGGGAGTGGCCCCGTGGAGCCTGAGCTGGGTGGCAGGAGGGCTGGGACCCACCCAGGTCTGGAGGGTGGGAGACAGAGAGGGGGATGGGATTTGTGTCCAGTCAGCACCAGGCCCTGGCCAGCAACCCAGGCTTGGGCAGCACTGCTGCTGAGGGGCCACCCCCAAGAGGGCATCCTCTAGGCTCCCCGCCTGGGTCTCTGAGTCCCAATGAGGCAGGGCCTGGGTGGGTACAGGGGATGGGAGCTGAGTGGCTTCTACCAGTGGAGAAGATGCTTAGGGTGGCCTTACTCTACATAGCTGTCCTTGACCAGCAGGAGCTAGAGCTGGACCTGCTCCTGGGGGTGTGCATGAGTGAGGCTGGGGAGCTTCAGGGAGATGGGGGTGCTAAGGGGGTCCCCCAGGGCAGATGGTGAACAAGTGGTTCAGGACCACCTTCCTCCTTGGAGGCAGTACCTCAAGCTGTCTCCTTCCATGGCCTCATGGGTGGTCCTGGGACCAGGTGCCTTCTAAAACCTTCCTATGGGGTCCCAGGTGATAGGCAGTCCCACCACCCTACCACATAGTGCATAGGCTGGGAGATCCTGCTCTCTGCCTCCCACCCTCAGCTGTGGCATGGGGCTGGGGGGGGTGGGCCCATCCCAGGGCCGTTGGCACGGGAAGCTCGGGGATAGGACAGATGCCCCATCTGGCCTGCAGATGGTGCCAGGCACGGTGGCCTCGTGCTGCCCTTGGCCTGCCCCCCCCCCCACCGGCATGGGATGTGCCCAGGCTTTCCAGAAACCCCGGAAGTGGGAGTGTTTTCCCGGAAGGCCACAGGCCGGGGTGGGGGCAGGGCCAAGTCAAGGATGGGGCACCAGAGCTTAGGGACAGTGACAAACACACAGAGCAGGGAAGGGGTCCTGGGGCCCCACGGAGGCCCAGTAAAGGCTGGCGTGAGCATCCTGGAGACCCCAGACCCTCCTGAGGGTCAGGTCCGGGCCCCAGCCTTGGCCTGGCTGCGGGGGGCGGCCCAGCCTGGGGTGCTGGCTCTGCGGCTGGGGGCATTGTTGTCAGCAAGAGACAGCCGGGCCACGCGAGCTCTGGATTCAATTAGCGGCTCTGAGGGCTCTGGCTTTTGGCCTGGGAGGCGGGACGGGTCACAGCGGGCAGTGGCTGGTGGTAGCAGGCCTGGGTGGGGCCCCTTCCTCCCGAGATGCAGTGGCAGCCCAGGTGCGCTTCCTGGAGGCTGGGGTCCTATCAAGGGAGCTACAAGGCACCCCCCCACCCTGGCTTGTGCCTGTCAAAGGGGCCTTTGTGGGCCTGCGGCAGCCAAGAAAATGTTTGCACTACACAGCCAGGTCTGGCCTCATGGGATGACACAAGGCGGGTGGGGTGGCGGGACCCCTGCCCTTCCAGGGTGACTTCAACACTTAGGGGCCAGGGCACATATGGGACACCAGCCCTACAGGCTCTGTGTCATGTGGGTGGCACACACACTTCACCCCCAGAAACCCCCTTACAGAGAAGTGACAGTTCCAAGGGGAGATGCAAGAGCTCACTCAAAGGGTGAAAACAGGCCCCCTCCACATGGTCCTAGCCCCTGGGCGAGGCTGCCAGGCCTGGGCAGGAGGTCTGGGGCCTTGGGGAGAGGGGCAGGCACAGGGGCAGCTTTGGGCAGTGGTTGTTGTTCTTATTATGTGCCATCGAGTTGGTTCTGACTCAGTGACCCCTCCTTGGGTTTCCAAGGCAGTATCACTATGGAAGTAGATTGCCCAACTTTCCTTCTGAGGAGTGGCTGGTGGGTTTGAACTGCCACCCTTCTGGTTAGCAGTCAAGTGCCTTAGGCACTGCGCCACCAGAGCTCCTTCGGGCAGTGGTAGGACTGGCCAAGCAGAGAGCTGATCCCTGCCTCTGCCCTGCCACAGGCAGCCTGGTGACCTCCCCAAGACCTGCCTTCTCTGGGCCTCGGCTGCCCAGAGAAAAACAAGGACAAAACAGTTAAACAGGGACAAAAATCTCCAGGTGCCCATGTCCAGGGGTCTTCACGCAACACACACTCCCTCCCTCACTCATACCCCCACGCTCACTCCACATACTCATTGACACATCCCATTTCACACTCCTTCTCACAACTCACTAAATACACCTTTTGCACACTCACACAACTCACCCTCTTACACACACTCATATATTCACAAGTATACACTCAGACCTGTGTGCACTCACTCACATTGACACCCACTCACACTCATCCTCAGACCTGTGCACGCTCACCTACACAGACCCTCTCATACACTCACCCACATACTCAGACCTGAACACGCTCATCTACACTCAGACCCACACATGCTCACCCATAGACCTTCTCACACTCATCCACACTCAGAACTGACCACGCTCATCCATACAGACCCTCACATACTCAGACTCACACGCTCATCCATACAGACCCTCACACACTCAGACTCACACATGCTGACCCATACAGACCCTCACACACTCATAACTGAACACGCTCACCCATACAGACCCTCACACACTCAGACCCACACATGCTCACCCACACAGACCCTCACATACTCAGACCCACACACGCTCACCCACACAGACCCTCACACACTCAGACTCACACATGCTGACCCATACAGACCCACACACTCATAACTGAACACGCTCACCCATAGACCTTCTCACACTCATCCACACTCATAACTGAACACACTCACCCATACAGACCCTCACACACTCATAACTGAACACGCTCACCCATACAGACCCTCACACACTCATAACTGAACACGCTCACCCATACAGACCCTCAGACTCACACATGCTCACCCATACAGACCCTCACACACTCAGACTCACACACGCTCATACACGACCCTCACACACTCAGACCCACATGCAGTCCCTCACACTCATGCACACCCTCAGACCCATGTGTACCCTCATCCACACAGTCCAGCACATGCTCACACACACCCTCTAGTACACTCACCCATGCTCAGACCCACACACACTCACCCACACATTCAGTTAACTCTAACACACTCAACACACACTCACTCCGAGTGAATGTCCCAAAGCACAGGTGTTGTCTGTGAACCCCACCCAGAGCGTGAGTTTCAGCATGAGGTCCACCCAACCTTCTTGTCCTCGCGCCCAGCACCAGGTCTGGTGTGCAGAGTGGGGCCTGGCCACCAGGCTCTGCTCCCCAGAGTAGGAGCCCGGTGCCCTGCGGTGGGCCCTGGCAACCGGCCTGCTCCTCCACTGTGGCCTGTTTCTGCACGGGTCAGCAGGAGGTGGCCCCTTGGAAAGTGGGGGCACAAGGTCTCCCTGGGAGAGGGTGGGAAGAGGGCTGGGCATGTCCTGCCCATGCCCCTCCAGCACAAACTGTTCTGCCCAAACCAAGACGGAAAATATGCAAAAAGGAGAAGAGATGGGGAGGGCGCATGAAGGCATCTGCCAGTCTCCCAGTGGCTGTGCCCTCCTTGCACACTTCCCTCCCTCAGTCCAGATGCCCTAGCGTCCTCAAGACCACAGGGGCTGGGGAGGGGCTCTGGCCTCAGGAAGCCTAGGGGCAGGGGACCTGGCGTCGCTCAGGCCAGCCTGGACGCAGGCACACACCCTTGGCGCCCACCAGCCTAGTGGTGCCCTGGAGGGTCCCAGCTCCCCTGCCAGGGGCCAGGCTGGGGGGGCAGGGCCAGGGCTGGCCTGGCTGGCTACCCATCTGGGGGCAATCTGAGAAATTCCAGGCCTTGCTGGTCCTGTGGGGCTATCCTTAACCGCTGAAATTACAGGGTCAGCCTTGGCCAGTGGCACCTTGGGGTCTGTGTATCATTAACCCCTGCAGGGGCCACACTGGGCAGGACTGCTCTGAACGGGGGGAGGGGGCGGAGCCTGAGGGCAGGAAGTGGTGGGTGGGGGAGTGCTGACTGCCTTTCTAGGCTGGCCACTCCCCAAGCTGGCCCGCACTGGTGGCCCTGTGGTGGGGGAGCTGCCCACAACGGTGGCGAGGGGCCAAGATGTGTGCTGCACTTGGAGCCAGAGGCCCTGAACCGACTCCTCCAGGGCAGGGGTGGGTGCTGACGGACACTCTCTGAACGGATCCCCATGCCCAGGCAGGTCTGGTGGGGTAACCAGAGAACAATCTCATTCAGCCTCAGCTTACCACACACACGCACAAAACACCTCACGGCTGCTGAGTCGGATCTGACTCATAGTGTGTTTCCGAGGCTGTATCACTATGGAAGTAGATTGCCCAGTCTTCTTTTCAAGGAGTGACTGGTGGGTATGAACTGCCAGCCTTCTAGTTAGCAGTCAAACGCCTTAGGCACTACGCTACCAGCTTACTCATCTGTAAAACGGGCCTCCCCAGTTCCCAGCCTTCCTTGGGTCGTGTGACAGAGGACGGGAGGGAAGACCACTGTCATCCTGCCTGTTGTCCCGCCTCTGGGGGACTCTCAGCCCAGGGTCCCCCAGCAGAGCCATGACAGGCACACGGTAAGGGCTCTTCTGGGAGGTTCCAGAAAGAACCTGTGGCCCCACCGGCCCCACACGTACTGCCCTTGCTGCTCCTGGTGCTTGGAGAGGTCGCCACACCCTCCGTCACTCAGTTTCTTCAGTTGTGAAACGGAAGGGAGGCTGGGCCAGCACTAGGACTGATCAGTGCTCAGGGTCCATATGGGGCCGTGCTCCCTGGCCAACAGGAAGATGGGCCAGCCTTGCCGGGTCCACGGTATGACGCATCAGTGCTCCTAGGCCCTCCTGGGGGAGAAGCTAGTGCTCCCAGGCCACAGAGGGACAGGCCAGTGCTCCGGGACCACGTGAAGACACGCTCCCTGGCCCACACGGGGACAGGCCAGAGCTCCAGGGTCCACATGCAGACACGCTCCCTGGCCCACACAGGGACAAGCCAGTGCTCCAGGTCCATGTGGGGATGTGGCTCCTGGCCCACATGGGGACAGGCCAGTGCTCCGGGTCTATATGGGGATGCGGCCCCCAGCCCACACGGGGATGGGCAGGTGTTCTGGGTGCAAGTAGGGATGTGGCCCTCGGCCCACAGGGATGGGACAGTGCTCCCAGTCCATGTCAGTACTCCGGGTCCATGTGGGAACACACTCCCCAGCCTACACTAGGCTACGTGGATGGACATGCTCCTGGGTCCCCATGGGGTCATGCTCCCAGACCCTCCCTGAGCACACCCACAAATCCTCATCCATGCACTTGCTGGGGGTTGGGAGGTAGAGGGGGGAGGTGCACACGGCCCTACCCACCCAGGCCCAAAGCTGCTGCCTCCCCTGGAACAGACCAAGGACAGACATGAGGCGGTGCCATGCAGGCCTCATAGAGACTGGCGGAGTCCAAGGCCCTCCCCATCTGCACTCACACCCACCACACCTGTCTCCTGCCCCACCATGTCAGCCTCGGCCTCTCCGGGTCCCCACCAACACTCTACAGCATCAGATACACTCATGCCTCCCACACCAGGTCTGCCAGGTTGCAGCCCCCTCCCCAAGTGCCAACATGTACCATACACTAGCCTCGGTGGCCCAGTCTGAGGCCCCAGGGCACACCTGTCCCCCTGACCACATGGACAAGGAAAGGTGCAGTCAGCTGTGGTCGGCCAGGCTCACCTGCCCATGAGAGCTACCTTAGCACCCTGCTCACGGGGCACCAGGCTGGGGTGCTAGCTCCTGGCTCAGTGTGCCCCAAGCACCCCAACACCAAGCCCCTTGGTGACAGCCTGGGTGACACCCTCCCCAGTGGCCTGTCCAGAGCCTGGACTCAGGGACACTGTTTGTGCCAGGGGCTCCTACCCTGGTGAGGTGTCCAGGGTGAGGGAGGCCAGAGGGCTGGAGAGGTGTCGGGTGTCCCATAGCTTCACTTCACGTTCCCGCATCTGCAGCAGGGGACAAAAGGGGTGCAGAGAGGAAAGAGACTCGGGGGGCTGGCCCTCTGCAGCTCGGAACACCTGGGGAGTCCAGAGGCAGAGGTGCAGAGCGAGCCTGGCATGGGGTGCCCACCCTAGAGCAGGGCCTGGAAAATATCTTAGAGGGCAAGTATGGGTTATTGTGTTCTGCTCCTTTAAGAGCCCTTAGGTGACAGGGGACAAGGGGCAGCTCCCTCCATGGACTCTGGTCCTTGTGGGGCTGCCACAGTTCCCAGGGTCAGGCTGAGCTACTACAGATGGAATGTGCTCATTTTCAGCAGCCGTTGGTCCCTTGGGGCTCCGAGACTGGCCTGCGTGGCCCGGGCCCGTATATGGGCAGGCCTGGGACCAGTGGCCAGCCCTTGGCTCCCACAACTCTTGCCCCCACCATCAGGGCTGAGGCTCACTCAGGGCTGGACCCGGGGAGCCCTACCTGGTTGACTCCCGTGGACACGAGGTGCTCCTGGGTGCCTGTCCACACCAGTCGGCCAGCCCTGCAGTTCTCATGGGCCTGTGTGCTCTGGGGGAGGCAAGAGACAGTACTGAGCCACCGGGCTCCCTGCTGGAAACAACGGCCCACCAGGGCTGAGTCCCAGATTGGGAGGTTCGGCCAGCGACTGGGAGCCCCCGAGGGCAGGAGATGGGTCTTCCCCCCAGAAGCCCTGGGTACCAGGCTGAGTGAGGACACAGATGGACAGCAGGACAAGCCCAGTCGTCGCCTGGGGCAGAGTGTGTGACACCTGGACACAGGGCAAACCCAGCCACCACATCCCAAACTGTTTCCTACCTCCTAAGTGTCCAGCACCTCCAGACCCTGCTCCCCAAAGCTACAGGGGTTCAAAGTGGCAGTACTGTCTGGCCTCTGCAGATGTCCCAGAGGAGGGACTCAGGTGAGGGGCACCACGCCAGGATCTAGTCTTGGCCCCAGCCCCTCTGAACCTCATTTTCTTTGCTAATACTTAAGAAGGGATTCTGTCTTACTGCTGTCTCCCGATGCTGCCTGCCAGGCCTGGCAAGGGGCCTGTGCCAGGCTGTGGGGCACAGGCCCCAGGGGAGCTGAGGGTGCCCCTTCTGGCCTCCAGCGGCACTGAGGCTGCCAGCAGAAAGGTTTCGTGGAAAGGGAAAGCCCAGGGAGGGAAGGCGAGTTCACCCCGTGGGTGAGGGCGGGCGGCCAGGTCTCCCTGGGCCCAGGCCGGGGAGTCGAGGGGGGCCGGAGGAAATGCTAGCAGCCCCCTCTTAGTCACCCTGCCCCTGGAGCCTGAGATGAGGGACCCTGTTACCAAAAATAGCTCACCCCGAACCGTGGCCAGCTTCCTCCGAGCTTCCCACGGTCTCCTTGGGAATGAATGAGGGAGGGAGGGAGGGCCTGCGAGGAGCTGGCCCAGGGCCCCCGCCCCTGCCCCCGTGGAGGCCGACCCCAGCGTGGGAGCCCATCGGAAACAGCTCTGTGTCGTTCAAGGGGCTCTTCTACTCTTCCCTTCCCACCCAGCCTCAGCCAGCACAGGAAGTCAGGGCTGGAGCCTGAGAACCAGGGCCCCCCACACCTCTCCCCACATAAGAGGGGCTGGGGGTCAAGGCAAGGGGCGGGACACTGGAGAACTGGAGAGCCCCACCCCATGCCCCAGAACTGCTCAGAAGCATCATCTGGCCCCCTCTGTTGGGGTGCACATACTCCCTCAAGTAAGCACCACACCAGACGTCATCACTCATTCACTCAATGAACACGCGAGGGTCTCACGGGCCAGCACTGTGTTAGGAGCTGGACAGCTCACACATGGAGGGGTCACGTAACAGGCTTTAGAACTCAGAGAGAAAGGGTTGACCAGGAATCTACTGTTTTACAACATGACTGTATGAGCCGCACACTGCTGGGCACTGGGGATGCCGTGAACGAAACGGGAAAGGCCGCCAGCTCATGGAAGGTGCAGTCCCATCGGGGGAGGTAGATGGGAGCTAAACAGGAAGGATTTTAATTACACGGGACAGGGAGCAGAGGAGAAGTTAAAAGCGTCAACTCCTCGTGGAGTGAGAGCTGACACACACGGAGTGCCCAGAACTGTGCCCATTTCAAAACAGCATTTTTTTTTTTTTATTTGGGTGAAAATTTACAGAGCAAATGCACTTTCCATACAGCAGTTCACATACATTTTGTCTCATGACATTGACCATAATTTACCACAATGCAACAGCTCCCTCCCACTTCCTCCTGATAGTTACCTCTTCCCTATGTCCATCCCTCCATCACTTCTGCCCGCTGAGCTGTCTCCCTGTGTATAAACTGCCCTTCTTTCTCCCATGATTGTTCTCTTCAAGGAGCGTATCTACCTCAGGTAAATGTTCAGCTCATATGCCTGTCTTTTGTTTGGCTGGAAGCTACAGGTGTGGGTTCAATTCCAGACCTGAAGGGTAGCTAGGGGCCACAGTCTCAGTGGTTCCACCAGGCTCTATCAGACCAGAAAAACTGGTCCCCCCCTTTTTTTTCCAATTGATTTTGAGTTTTGTTCCACATTGTTCTCCCCCTCTATTCAGAACCTCAAAACTGAATTTTTTAAGGCTAAGGACAGGGTATAACAACGGTATAATTGAGGGAGGTAAACGCGAGGGGTTAGGAGGAGCCTCTTGGAATGGTAACATTTGTGCTAAATTGGGAAGGTCCTGTAGGTGTGAGTGGGCAGGGGACCGGCAAGTGCCGAGTCAGAGGCTGGAGAGACACAGAGGCCCGGTGGGGGCACAGACAGCAAAGGAGGCCACACCAGAGCCTGCATCCCCAGGGCTGCGCGCCTCCATTTCCACGAAGAGGCACAGGAGGGGAAAGAAAGAGCTTGGCCCTAACTTCTACCTTCCTACTTCACACACAGGGAAACCAGAGACCTGGAGAGAGAAAGCCACCTGCCTAAAGTCACCTACAGGACAGCTGGAAGCCTGGAGCCCTGGTAGCACAATAGTGAAACGCTTAGTGCTTAGCTAGGAGCTCTGGTAGCATAGTGCCTAAGGCGCTTGACTGCTAACTGGAAGGCTGGAGGTTCAAACTCACAAGCCACTCCTCGGAAGGAAGGTTGGGCAATCTACTTCCATAGTGATACCGCCTCGGAAACCCAAGGAGGGGTTGCTATGAGTCAGGGCCGACTCGATGGCACATCATAAACAACAACAGCGCTTAGCTAACCAAAAGGTTGGTGGTTCAAACTCACCAGCAGCTCCGTGGGAGAAAGACCTGGTGACCTGGTCCTGTAAAGATTACAGTCATGGAAAGCCTATGGGGCAGTTCTCTTCTGTCACAGGGGTTCCTAGGAGTTGGCACTGACTCGATAGCACACACGACAATATACACATCATACTTGAATAAAAATAAAAAATAAAAAATAAAAAAGACAGCTGAAGCTTTCTGGCTGATATCATTCTCAGTTTGCATGGGAAGAATCAGAAGCTCAGAGAGGTGACAACTTGCACAAAGTCACCTGAGCTTGGGGAGAAACAAGGAGGAGCCCAAGGTCTATGTCTCTCACACACACATGCACACACAGAGATCCACACACCACCTCAGGCACCCTCCTGTTGACAGCAAACATCCCAGGGATAGCTCAGGGTGAGGGTCAGGCCTGACCATGTGGTGCAAAGTACAGGGAGGGCACGCAGGGAGACTGTGACAAGGTAGGAGCTCTGGCTACGCTCCAATGTTGCCCTGTTGCCCCCTGTGGGCACCACTGGGTCTGTCCCCAGGGCCACAGGAAGGCCCAGATCCTACAGAGCTTGTCAGTTTCAAAAATACAAAGTGCTTCATCCATGACCACAGGCTGTCACAGCCTCATCCTCGGGCTGTCTCTGGACCCAAGGCCCAGCCCTGTCGTGGAGGTGGGGGTGGGGGAGGGGCTGCAGGGCACTCCTGAGTCCAGGGTCTCCCTCCCTGAGAGGAGGCGGACCAGGTCCTGCTGGGGGGACACCTTTGCCCTAACAGGAGCAGAGGGTATCCTGCTCATGAAGGAGCCCCACAAAGGTTTTGTTGGCCCTTAAGGTCCCCCGACACCTGGGCCCAAAAGCAAAGCAAGAGACGTGGCCAGCGGAGCCGCCCAGCCGCCCTGGGATGAGGCACATACCCAGCATTCCACAGCTGCAGCCAAAGCCCCAGCTTCGTCTCCATGGCAATGCTTCCTGTGGGGCAGGGTGGCTGCTCTGGGCTCCTTCCTTGGGGCCAGGGGACCTTCTCCAAAATGATAAGATTCTCCCACTGCCGACTCCGCCTTGGCCAGGCCCTGTCTTGGGCCTGGACGCTCCCCCCCCAGGGCTGGCCTGACTTCTCTTGGGTAGGCGGGAGGCAGAGGGGAGCCGGTTCCCCACAAACTGGAAGGGCTCATCCCAGGCCCCCCTCGCCTCGCCCTGCCCCCGATAGGAAGGGTCCTGAGGGTTGGCGGCTTCCTCCAGGTATCGAGGACTTCGGATGGCGCAGCCCAGAGGTAGGCAGCAGAGGGGCCAGGGGCTCTGGAGTCAGACAGGCCGGAGCTGGACGCAGGCTGAGCCACAATGAATGGGCATAAACATACATTTAAAAAACTTAGGGGGTCAACAGCAGGGACCCACCTAGGTCTTTCCCCTCCAGGCTCTGGTAGCCAGAGGCAAGGCCCCAAGGTGGCAGTGGAAGGAAGCCTCCCTGACCCCTTCTACTGTCTTGAGGTTCCTGACGGGTAGTGTGTGACTCAGGACCCCACAGCCCCGAGGGGGAGGGCAGAGGACAGAAGCCTAGCACCCCTTGTCCCTGAGCATTTCACCTGGAGCCTGTGCCTCCCCAAAGGCCCCCATTAGCCGGGAAGGAGGTCTGAGGGGCAGGCGCTCCCAGAGGGCTCCCCTGAGCTGGCCCCTCAGCTCACACCCACCCTGGCCGCCAGCAGCGGTTTTTCCTAATAGAAGCCAGGTGTGGGCCAGATGCCCTGGGCGGAAGTGGGGGCAGGGCGGGCGGAGGGCAGCGGTCCAGGCTCGGCAGCCCCCGCACCCCAAGGCCCAGCACAGGCACTGTCCCAGCAGCTGGAAGCGGGGGCGCAGAGCCACCCCCACGCCTCCCAGGTCTCCTCAGCCTAGAAGCCCCTTCAGGGGGCTTTGCTGCAGAACCAGGTCCGCTCCCGCTCCAAGGAGCCTCTTGGACGGCAGCCACTCCCTCCACCTCAGCAGCATCAGTCACCACCCCCTTTCTGGAGGAGGAAGGGCGGAAGGAGGAGGCGGAGGGAGGAGAAAGTAACCCTCGGGCCTGGAGAGATGGGCCCAAGGTGACACCCAGTCCCGGCAGGAACAGGGGTGCCCATGGTGCCCCCGGAGGCCCGGGGTGGGAGAGGGCACCTGAGAAGGGGAGCCGGGGCTCAATCTCTCTCCTCAGGCTCAAGTCAGACCCCTTATTGTATGCTTGGAAAACAGCCCAAGAAAGAAGCCGAGTAGGCTCCCCCTCACAGCCACACCGTCTTGAGAGGTGGATAGCTACCAGCCTGCCAGCTGTAGGAGAGGAGGGGACATAGAGGTCAGCCAGTGTGGCGAGAACCATGTCTGCCTGGCTCTTTCCACCTGCCAAAGTGGGCCGGTCAGAACAGCCACTGACTAGACATTCTAGGCCAAAAAGTTGTGATTTGCTACATAAGCAGGATTTTGCATGGTGGGGTGCATGTGGGGGGTGCTGCAGGGGCTCCTGGGCTGGCTTGAGCAGGGAGTTCACCTCCCACTCGAGTAGGAAACAAGTCTGAGAAGTGGGAGAGGGGCGTCTGTGATAAGCTTGGTTCCTCCCTTCAGGACCGGCAGCAAGATCCGCAACTTCACTTTTCTCAAAGAAGGCTGCACAGCTTCTAAAAACATCTTTCTACAAATGCAAATCTGCTCCTTCTACTTCCTGCTTGAAAGTCTCTTTAACTAAAAAGCCAAGTTTTATATTATATACATTTTATCATTCCAAAAAATAAAAACCAAAAAACCAAACCTACTGCCATTGAGTTGATTCCAACTCTTAGCAACTCCCACTGGGTTTCTGAGGTGGTAAATATTTACGGAAGTATATCGCCCAGTCTTCCTTCCACACAGAGGCTGGGGGGTTTGAATCACCAACCTTCTGGTTAGCAGTCAAATGCCTTAGGTACTACGCTACCAGAGTTCCTTGTATTTTGTCACAGTAAAAAATAAAAAAAACGAACCTTTCTCTGAACAGCGAGAAGGACAGGCCTTCCTGATGGCCTGGTCCGTCCCCTCTGCGCCCTCCCTGGCACGATCCAGCCACGTCCCCCACCCCCGGCCATCTGCACGTGCCCATCTGTGCTCTCCAGGCTACCGCTCCAGGGTGAGCTCCTCAGGGAAGCACTTCGCCCCCATTCAGAGCCAGAACTCTGCCTCACGGCGACCCAGTGTGAGCTACAGCAGAACTGTGCTCTACGGAGCTGTCAGTGGCTGCTTTTTTAATTGTGATTTGGGTGAAAGCTTACAGAGCAAATGCACTTTCCACACAGCAGTTCACATATACTTTGTCTCATGACATCGACTACAATTTACCACAATGCAACAGCTCCCCTCCCACTTCCTCCCAATAGTCACCTCTTCCCTGCGTCCATCCGTCCATGCACCCCTGCCCCGAGCTGTCTCCCTGTGCACACACAGTCAATGGCTGCTTTAGGGGAGGGAGCTCACCAGGCTTTTCCTCCGAGGTGCCTCCGACTGGACTCGAACAACCAACTCTTAGGTTAGCAGCCGATTTTCCAGTGAGCGGTGTAGTAACCGTTTGCACCGTGCAGTGATTGCTCTGGGCGGGCCTGCATGCCTGTGCTACTCATCACAGGACACTGAGTGGGAGACACCTTTGTCCAGTGAATGAATGAGTCTCCGGAGGCTCTGTGCCTGAAACTTGACCCTGGTGTCCCCTCTGGGAACTCAACAGCCACACGCAGGCAGATAAGCAGGGCACACACACCCCGACACACTCTTAGATGAGCAGGCCTGACCCCGCACAGCACCGAAACCCTGGGGCACAGGGATGGGGTGGGGCGGCTGGCAGAGGCCCTGAGTCTCATGTGTCCTTCTGGATGCTGCCATGGCTGGCCTCTACCAACTAGGCCAAGGAGGAAGGTGGGGGGCGAGGGGCTCCAGGGAGGCAGGAAGTTGGAATCTGAAATTAGCTTCGCAGAGCCACAGGACGTCTCCAGCGGTGGCCTGTGGGCAGCCTGGCTATGCCCTACCCTGTGATCAGGACCTGGCCCTTCCTGGACCTGGAGCCCATTTCTCAGAAACAGCTCCCAACAGCAGCAGGCGTCCGACTCCCAGGTGACCTCCACGTGTCACCTGGGCGTCACCACAGGGGCCTGGGCAGTGGGGCAGCACGTGTCCCGGGGGGAATGCATCTGTGGGTGCTGAGCCTGCCCCCACTCCACCACTGACCCTCTGGTCCTCAGCCCATCCGTGCGCACCCACACAGACTTACCTGCGAGGCCTCAGCCTTTGCTCTGGGGTCAAAGACCCGCAGTTGCTTGTCCTGCAAAAGAGAACAGGAAGAGTGGTGAGCTGAGCTGGCATCCCTGGGGCCAGCCCGTCCCCAGCACACAGGCTGGCATCACACACAGGGCACGCCCTGCCTTTTTCCAATTCTTCTTCTCATCAAAAGGGGCAAGTGCTGTTTCCTGCCCTGGTCGCCTGGAATGGAGAACACGGTGACAACAGCTGATGTTCCCTGAGACTCCCCGCCAGGCACGGGACGAGCATGAGCCTGCGTCTTTCCGATGACGGCTGGAGGTGTTGCTGGACCTGTGGCCATCTTACAGACAGAGAGACGGAGGCCCAGAACCAAGGTCACACGTATACCCGGCCCTGTGCTAGGCCTGGCCAGGAGTTTCCAGGATGCTATTACATCTGCACTGAACAGCCTTCGTGTCTAAGTGTGGAACACGAGCTCATGTGTCCTACCCATGCACTCAACATGCAGCGATGGACCCAGAATACCCGAGGGTGGGGATGAGAACACACAGAAACAAGTACTGTAAGGTAAAATGCCCGCAGCCCGTATACAAAAAACAAAACCCGCTGCCGTGGGGTGGTTTCTGACGCATGATGATGTGACGCGTTACAGAGCAGAGCTGTGCCCGAGGGTTTTCTTGCTTTTAATCTTTATAGAAGCAGACTGTCAGGCCTTTCTTCCATGGTGCTGCTGGGTGGGTCTGCAGTGGGAAGTTCTAGGCTAGTGGCCAGATGCAAACCACCTCTGGCACCCAGGGACTTCCGATAACCTTGTATAACAGGACCATATCTATGTGATTCTGTGGGTGTGTGTTTGTGGGGGGGGTGTGTTCAGCGTATGGGTGAGTACTGTGCTGTGTGTGTATGGTGGTATATGTACATATGTACATGCATGAAGACCTGGGCAGAGGCTGCCACTGCCAACCATTCTAATCAGGGTCACAATAGAGGATCCCGGCAGAAAGGGAGGAAAGTGTGGAACAGAACCTCAAATTCTCAAAGAATCCAGACTGAATGGACCCACTGAGATTGGAAGACTCCCCGGGACTACTACCTGGAGATACTTTTTAACCCTCAAACCGAAACAAGCCTGAAGTCACCTTTAAACTGAATTCAGGTCAAAAAGCAAAGGACAAGATGATCGTGTACTGTGCCCTGAAAACGTCGTCTACATGAGGCCACATGGACGGCAGTCTCTGTAAAGCACAGAAGGGAGGTTGGGGAGTAGTGGGAGTAAGTTAGTGGGAGTGGGACCCGAACGGAGATTATGAGCACGGGGACACAACGTGGAGAAGGAATAAACATCACTGAAACAGACAGGAACTGCTGAAAAGGAACCTGTTTGGCTGTGTACACTTTCACCAAAAAACAATAAAATAAAATACAACAAAAATTTGGGCAGAGAGAGGGCAGAATCTGTGTCCACTACCTACAGGCTTGGCCATCGAAAACTGTTGGGCGCGCTAAATGCAGAATGACAAACAGAGTGCGGTATGGTTCTACTGTGGCAAAAATAAACAAGCCACCCTCAATGTGTGGCCAGGGTCCTGTAGGTCTTGCAAGTGTGCTGAGCAAGGAGAAAGTGTGAGTAGCACACACAGACGCCAGAGGAGAAGCGTGGGAGGGAAACTAGCTCTTCCTTCATACAGCTTAGCACAGCTCCACCTTATTCCAATAAGCATGTATTCCTTTCATATTTTGAAAAGCAACAAACCTGCAAGGAACCACCAGAATTTGAAATAAAAAAACACAATACCGCTTACTTAGTACAAAGTAACAACACACAGGCAGTCCCTGACTCACCACCCAACTTCCGGACAACTGCTACTTGCCTTTTAATGTTAAGCGAACCTATCCTCACTTTGAAAGAACCGAACCAACCCCTACTCTCAAGAAATGCTTCATCACAATCACCTTCATTTGCTGCTCTGCAGCTTTTAAACCACAGAAAAGACTTTGAGCCTTTTCTTGCACTAACCAGACCCGCTGCCACGGAGTCCATTCTGATTCTGGCTCGGAACGACCCCAGAGGACACAGCAGAACGGCTCCCAGGGGGTTTCCAAGGCTGTCAATCTTTTATTTATTTATCTATTTTTGTTTATTTATTATTTATTTATTTATTTAAAATTTTATTTTGATTTGGGTGAAGATTTACAGAGTAAATTCACTTTTCATACAG